TCAAGATCCTCGCCCAAGCCATCTCCGTGATGCTTGTGGTCGTGGCCCATGATCATGCTGGTGTCATGATCGTGAAGGTGGTCATGATCGTGATGGTGGTCGTGATCGTGGTGGTGGTCATGATGGTGGTCATGACCGCGGTGGTGGTCGTGGGGCGCGCTTCCCGGAGGTGCCATCGGCGCGTGCTTGTGCACGGAAGAGACGTTGACTTTGGTGGCGGCGATGCGCCCCGTGCTCTTCCAGACGCGCTCGGTGGCGAGGCCCCACTCGCCGCGGATGTCTAGGATGGTCGCGAGGCCGGCCTCAATGTCAGCGATCGGCGCGCCCTACCGCAGCCCTCATGAGCTGAGACAGTGAAGAGGACGATGGCCCACAGCGTCAATGAGCGACGCGAGGATCATGTCGCCGGCGGCGCCGGCCGAGCAGTCGAAGTACGCAATCTTGGTCATGGCAAAAATCGAAGAGTGCGCTTTGGCCAATCAAACGGACATATCTTCCCGATCTTTTTCCGGATCATGTTGAAGTTACCGCCAATGAGCGTCCAGGTGCACATCATTGGCACATCATTGTAGCTTGTCTTATTGGCATCATATTGTCTCAGAGTTGTCGACTAGTCAGACGCTGCTAATCTTCTCGTTGGTGTGGCTTTGGCTCACGGTTCGAGAGATACTGTACGGCGCTTCGTTGTAATCCTACTTCACAATTGTGTTTGGAGGTTGTTTGGTGCACTGGTTTGCATAACCGAAGGACCCAGACGAGAAGGAATGACAAGTACAGCGCCCACGAGCAATCAAGAGAGGTGGCGCGCCCGAGATCGTCGCAATCATCGAAAGGCCGATTGGAGCCAGCGACGTTGCAAAATGTACAGCCCGGGTCGTCTGTGCATGCGACCACATTCGGCAGAAGAGGAGGACCGCGGCGGCCTCGATCGCGACCGTGTTGTTGGCGCAACGGTACCGACAACGCATTTGTCTTGCGGCGCCGTCGTCAACACAAGCTCGGGTGTCGTCGAGTTAGCGCGGTTTGAGGATTTCGAGCGTGGATCCGTCGCCGGCCAAGGGCCACGTATATCTGACGAGGCTGCTGCCCCAGCTGCCCGTCGCCACGATCGTCGCAGGTTGCTTTAAGAAGAGGCTCGTGGCTGTAAACGTCTCGCTTGTGCACGACATGACCGTCTTGGTCCGTGCGAGCGTCGCGATGAGTTCGTTGCTCTTGTGGCGCAGCTGCTTGTAATCAAGTCCTTCGTCGGCGGTCGTGGACGCCGCAAACTATAGGTTGACATCGTCACGAAATGTGCCGTCAGGACCGCGATTGAGCGCGTTGGCCTTGGTGCAATCCATGGCAAATGATCACGTGATGAAGACGAGGACATCGTCTCTAGTCTGTGATCTCTTCCATGCCGTTTGCGTTGTCAATCCAGGTGCCCAGAATGCCACCATGTACACCCATGTACACCTGGTTGTAGCACCGCCTTGGGTTGTGTGAGACGGGGTGGCGACCGAGTCTGAGGCCCGACCTCACTCTAGGAGTCTCTTACCTGCACCCTGCCCAAGAAAACTTGAGGGCCACTCAGGACTGAGCTGATGGCGCCGATGACGTGGCAGCCCCATACGCCGTGGACAGTTACACACGGCAGCGCCAGTTGCATAACGACTGTCCGTCGTATATCCGGAGTGTACACTCGCTTTCAAGAGCAATAGGATGCAGAGCCCGTTGCCAATGAGTCCGATGGCTCGTCCGCCGCTCAAACTTCCTCCTCGGGGTGGTCCCATGAGCCCTCCGCCGCCGTCGCGATTACCAGCTCTGCGGCCCACCGAGTTGCACGAGTCGCCGGCTCCGCTCATGGACGTGTCGCAAACTGCGTCATGGCTGCGAGACGACGACGCTATTTACGGGGCGTATGAAGCGCGCCAGACTCCCTACTACCGAAGCGTCCAGCGTCCAGCACCACCCAAGCCGGACAACGCAGCGCTCCATCGGCAATGCGTCGATGCCATCGCCTTTTACGCCAAGCAAGTCGACGCGCGACGGGTGCAAATGGACAAACTCAAACTGTACGCGCCACGCAAGGCGTCCGAGGTCTTTCCCATCGCTGCCTACGACACCAAGCTGTATATGACGCCCCGGTCAACCAAGACGTCGCCATCGCCGCCATCGTCGTCGTCGTCGTTGCACAGTCTCTCCCCCGTTGATGCCAGCACTATGCCGACCGTGCCCGACGACGAGTACTCGCATGTGCAGCAAACGCTTCGCTTTGACGCGCTTAGCCCGCCGTCGTCGCCCGCGACCGACACTCCACCGATGATGCCGGTTGAGAGTACAACGGGCAACGCATCGTTTCGCCTCTAGTCTCGAAGCCCAGCTCGTTTATGGATGCATATGCACATCATTGTAACAACGCGTCCGCTGTTGCTGCTTGACTTGCGAGGAGAAGAGGTGATTGAACAATGACTTGATTAGCCTGGGCTTAGACTCGTTGCTAGACATGTACGCCGTCGTCGCCCGCGACCGACACTCCACCGATGATGCCGGTTGAGAGTACAACGGGCGACGCATCGTTTCGCCTCTAGTCTCGAAACCCAGCTCGTTTATGGATGCATATGTACACCATTGACGTGAAAAGAATGACAATGTTGTGTTCTCGTTCGACTGGAAGACGACAGTGCGCGTCTTATCGGATACCAAGTGGTGCTACACGGTGCATACGACCCAGTGTGCTGCGGTCTGTTGCAAGTCGTTATAGTGTGGGCACGCCGAGCGTCCACGCGTGCGCCGGCGTCGGTTGGCCATGGACAGGCGGTGTGCACGCGAGATACGGTGTCATTGTATCGTTTTCCGGGACGCAGCTCGGACACGGACGCACAAAGTTGCCGTTGATGTCGCGAAGCGCGACGCGGTTGTCGCCGACGTCGACGCACGTAAAGCTCGTCACGTGCATCGACGCGTCGTCAAAGATGGTAATGATGTTCGTGAACGCCGACGTGTCATCGATGAGGACACCAAAGTAGTTGGGCACGTCGTCGTGCAACGCAAACGTGCCGGGTCCCGTCGAGACAATCGTCAAGCTCGTGGGCGAATCCGTCGCCAGAGCCAAGAATTGATCCAAGCTCCAGTACCCGAAGTCCGCAGCTGAGAGCGTGACGACAGCACCGTCGACGAACGCGCTGCAGGGACTTGGTGGCGACGGCGTCAACGACGGGGCCATGGACGGTACTTGGCCACACGCGCCGCCCGCCGCCGCCAGCGTAAGACTCGCTAGAAAGAGTGCAGCGCGCAAGTACAACATGGCAGAAGCAGATATGTGCGGCTGCGAGAACGTGGCGGACGAGATCCACAAGGTGCCAGCATCTTCCCAACTGAGATTGACAGCTACTTACGCAGCGTACTAACACTGGTGGGTCCGAGTACGTCTGCATACGAGACGGCTGCGACCTGAGTCGCGATGGGCACTGCCTGCCACGCGACGATCTCCTCACGCCATCATGGCAGTGCAAGATATGGCTGGTGTCAGCCAATCAAGACGACCATTCTATATTTTTCGACCAATCACGTGGCGCGCAATCCGTTTCCGTGGATTCATGGCCCGTTGCGTTGGCCTCGTGCTCCTTTGGCTCGTGCTCGTCGCGCTCGCTGTCGCAGACGAAGAGGAAGCATGCGCCTCGTCGCTCAACATTGTCGTCCACGCGCAGGCCCACTCGTCGACGGACGCGCTCGTCATCGGCTCTGAAATGACCTGCGCGGGCTTCCAGGCCGCCTTTGCGGCCGCCGGCCACCACGTACAGCTCATGTACCCCGGCAGCTATGGCGCGCTCCACGACCGCGTGTGGGATATCGTCTTTATCGAGGGCTGGTTCCCCGCGATCACGGCCTTTATCCACGAGATCCGACGGGCCACGCACGGTCACGCCAGGGTGTATTTCTACTGCTTGGACCCGGACTTCCCCGGTCGCCTATGACGCAATGCCAGTGCGGTTGGCTCACGCACCGTAGGTCTCAACACGTTGCAGATGCTGGACGTCGACGGCTTCTTTGCCAACAGCCACGAGGCGCTGCGGCATCTGGCCCCGTTTGCGACCATATCCGAGTACTTGCTCTTGGCCGCGACCCCGCCGCCGCCAGCGCCGACAACCAACAAGTACGCGGCCATTCCTCCCGTCGTCTACGTCGGCAACGCCGTTGGTATCATGACCAAGCAGCATCTCGCGTCCATGCTGCGAGAGGCGATCCCGTTTGGCCTTCGCATCTATGGGTACGCCTGGGAGATGCATCCCGAGTTTGCGCCGTTCTGGGCCGGCGTCTTACCAGCCGCCGACTTGTGGGACGTCTATTCTGCGGCCAGAGTGATTCTCGGCGCGACCATGGACGGCCAGCGCGCGTCGGGCATGATCAACAACCGGGTCTTTGAGGCGCTCGCCGTCGGGCGCATCTTGATCAGCGATCACTCGTCGGCGCTCGAGGCCCTCTTTGGCGACCGTGTCCTGTACTACAAGGCGCCGGGCGACATGACGCGCCACTTGGCGCAGCTCGTGACGACCGAGTACGCTCGTCCCCACACACCGGAGGACTTGGCGGCGCATATTCGCACGTACCACACGTACACCCCGCGCGCTGCGTTCGTTCTTGCGATCCACCATCAGCTCTCGCGACGCGACGTCGATCGCATCCACAAACCCAAGCTCTTTGTTGTGCTGGACGAGAGGTGGCTGGCGTCGCATTTGTTGAGTGCGCTGTATGTACACGACGTGGTGCTGCCGGCGCTCGCCAAGCTCGAGCGGCTTTTTCTCGTTCACATGGGCAGCGAGCTTCCAACGACGACGACGACACGAGCAATGCACACGCACGACCTCGTGCTGCTGCTCAGCGCCTACAACAGTACCTTGGAGCGAACCTTTCGACCGGTGGCGCTGCGCGGCGCCAAAGGGCTCTTCCTCCTCGCGCCACTGCGCGACGACGACGATGGGTTTGAGACGGACGGTGCTTTCTATGACATTGTGTACTTTACGCAGCCCGATCAATTCGATCGGGTGCGGCGCGCGCGCACCAACGTGCAGAACGCCTTCGGGTGGCCCGTCGTTGCTAGTACCACGGACGTGCCACCACCACCGGTGCCATGCGACGTGCTGATCGTTGGTGACTGGGACGACGACGAGCAGCGCCTTCTGCGTCTCTTCCAGGACCTCGACCACGGTCTGCGTGTCACGGTTGTCGTCCCCGAACGACATGCCCGGGATGCCCATCATGCCATGATGCAGCTGAAGTCCATGGACATGCGCGTGGTCTACGCGAGCCCTGGCAACGACTCGCTCCACAATCTCTTAACGCGTTCGAATTGCGACGCGATCTTCATTCCAGGTACCAAGGACGTCGGCGGCAACGAGTACTTGGTCGCGGCGGGCCTCGCGCGTGGGCAAACGGTCCGCATCCAGCCGGACAACGACCGACTCCAACGGCTCTTTCAGCGCTTGACGATCCAGGACCCGCCAAGATGGGACGTGGCGCATGTGGCCAAGATGCTGGCCGTTGGGAAGACGCGGCCGCTGGTCCTGGGCCGCGGCAACGCCAGTGTCTCCATGGTACGCATGCCTCTTTTGCTAAATGCGATCTCTCGACGGGCTCGTAGGTGGTCTCGGAATCCTGCATGCATCACCCGGGCAGCGTCGACGTGTCCTTTGAGACCAACAACTTTGAGCCGCCGGCGGACGGCGTCGTGTGCCTGCTCGTCGACGGCGACGCCCTCGGCTGTGTCCTCCACGATGGCATGCGCTTCCACGTGCGCTTGCCCATCGGCAGTGGGAACGTGACGCTGCAGATGGCGCTGCGCAGTATCGTCTTTGGCGATGTGTTTGCGTGGTCGCCGCCGATCGTGCTGGCGGCGTCGCATGAGCGCGCGCCGCTCGCACCGCCGACATCGACGCGCTACGTGGTCGACTTGGCCAGTAGTCCGTAAGGTGCGGCGCCGTACGATAGGAATAGGCGTATTAAAAGGAGTAGATGTGCTATGTACCGACACGTGGCTTAGACGTCTTCCTCGTCGTAGCCGTCGTCGCCCGTGAACGAGCTCGAAAACTTGACGATCGCGCGGCCGATCGCGCCGATCCACGCGTCCTTCTTCTCTTCGCTCTCGGCGTGCATGTAGTACGTCGACTCGGGCGTCGCAATCTCAAAGCAGAAGCGCTTGTTGGTCTTCTCCTCGGCCGACTTGACCGTTAAGCACTCGGAGAGATCGATGACGCCATGCGGCGCCTCGCCCTGCGCCCGGCAAAAGTAGAGCTTGTTGCCCTTGAGCACAAAGTAGCGTGCCCGCCACTCCTTGAGCCACACGCTGCGCTTCGTGAGCTCGCCCTCAAAGTCGGGCTGCGCGAGGTCGGCCACCACGTCCATCTCGTCAGAGGAAATAATTTCGAAGCCAGCGTCAGTTCTATGGAAAGAGGTCAGATCGTTGCTGACGTAGCAGCTGCTTGCTGACGTTTTAAATGACATACAATTGGCAAGCTATTAAAAGCATATCCCGCGACCGCAGCCATCAATTGACCCATGGACGTTGGCGTTGTCCTCGGCGAGGAATAAATACCCGCGGGCAGGCGGTGCACACCATGTGCTACATCAACAGCTAGATATACCTCGCTTGTAAATGGATGGGCTAGCTCAAGGGAATAGTACGAATAGAAGAAGACTCGGGCTTGGCGGACGTCTGGCGATCCAGCAATTATCTGACCACAATGCTATTTCTGCAGTTGACCATTTAGAAACCATACAAACAACTAGATGTTTACATTCGACATCTAAATACACGCAACTTCAACTTTAAACGTGGATCGCCCACGGGCCCACGTACTGCGCGACAATGACATCGAGGACGTCGGTGGGGAGCTTGGTGCGCTGGAAAGCAGCGCGAGGGTCCTTGCAAACGGGGCGCAAGCATTGCCACGCCAAGTCGCAGAGAATGTGATGGGCGCTGCGACCTTCGTGGCGCTTCTTCTCCCAATAGGACAGGGTCGCGACAGTCCGGATCATGTCTTTAGCCAGCGGATCGTCGGCTGCTGCTTGGGCCGCTGCCTGCTGGAAGGTCGCGGCGACGCACGCAGCAATCATTGCACCCGTGCGTCCTTCGTTGTCCTTGAGGTCTGTGCTGGCGCCGTGCTCGAGCAGGACGAGGAGGACACTCCAGCGTCCAAAGCTCGACGCGAGGTGCAAAGGCGTGTGTCCGTGGACGTTGACAGCGTCGACCAGTGCTCCGTGCGACAGCAATGTCGCTGCCGTCTCGGGTGAAGATGTGAAGTGCAGCGGCGTGTTACCTGCCGTTGTTCTCGCGAGAACATGGGCACCGTGTTGAAGAAGAGTGTTGGCTACTGCGACAGAGGCGCACCGGTGCAGAGGCGTTGCGCCGTCAAGCCGCTTGCTATGAACCGAGGCGCCGTGCACCAACAGCAACAGTGCAATCTCGCCTGATGGCGCCAAATGGAGCGGCGTCGCGTCGTCGTTGTCGAGGCAGTGGACGCGGGCGCCATGGCGGAGGAACAGCGAGGTTGATACGGCGTCATTGATGGCGACAGCAAGGTGCAAGAGCGTCTTGCCGGGCACGCGGTACGAGTACTCGTCGACGTCGATCGACGAAACGAGCTTGGCGATGGCGTCATGACGACGCTCCAAGACCGCAGTCTCAATGGCGTTGAAGGCGTCGGCCATGGTCGGGCGAATTGATACAATGGCTCAAAGTTATCAACGCGGCGCGAGGAATAAGATTTTCCAGCTGGGACAGGATCGGTGGCACTCGTCTTTTGTATGCCAAGGTGTACAGGGCCATGTGGCAGCCAATGGGACGATGCCCGCTTCGTCTTCGATTTGGAAGAGAAGACGCCAAGGGCGAGTATACCCTTGTCTGGCTGCCTGCCCGTAGCACCAACTCGGTTCTTTGTCGTGTCTTTGCCAAAAATCAATGCACCGGCACCACAGTTAAATCAGTTTACCTTGGCGCCTTTCGCTTCTATTGCATATGAAGGACTCGTCCATGACGATCACATGGATCCTGGATCGATGGAACCGTTTCTGCAGGGTTCTTGCCCTCTCCACTTCGCTCGAGTCGTCATTGCATCGTATGCACTCCGAGGCTAAACTACTCGACTTGCTTCCATCTTTCTCCAGACCCACGGGCCTAGCCTCTACTAATATATGGCGTTGGCTTGTGTCGAGGCGACAGCGTCTGGCGCACACAACGTAGTTCCTCACTATCCCTGTCATCGCGACGCTTGACGCGCAGCCACCACGCGGCCTTCGACCTGCAAGCGGCCACACCATTGCGTCCGTGGGCTTCTCGTCCGTCGACGCGACAGTATTATCGTCGCCTCTCGCTCGTTCCATCCCAGTGCTCTTGGCTCGTCAGGCTGCCACGCGAGCGTTTGCATCCGGATAAAACCGACGCTTCATGATCGCAGGTTGTGATAAGATGTTTGTATGGTATACGAAAACCAAGTTGGGGGGCGACGCGTCGCTGGAATATATTGCAATATTTCGATTTCGACCAACCTCATGGCAGCTCGGCGCGTGAACCAAGGCCCGAAGCGCGGGTCCAAGACGTACGAGCGGCCGGGCCTGAGCGAGGAGGAGATCGAGGAGATCCGCGAGGCCTTCAACCTCTTCGACACGGACGGCTCGGGCACGATCGACCCGAAGGAGCTCAAGGCCGCCATGCAGTCGCTCGGCTTCGAGGCCAAGAACCAGACCATCTACCAGATGATCGGCGACATCGACAAGGACGGGAGCGGCTCGATCGACTTTGAAGAGTTCCTGGATATGATGACGGCCAAGATGAGCGACAAGGACTCGCGCGACGACATCCAGAAGGTCTTCAACCTCTTTGACGACGACCAGACAGGCAAGATCTCGCTCCGGAACCTCAAGCGCGTCGCCAAGGAACTTGGAGAGACCATGTCGGACGCCGAGCTCCTCGAGATGATCGAGCGCGCCGATAGCGACCAAGACGGCGAGATCAACGCCGAAGAGTTCTACTCGATCATGACCAAGAAGACCTTTACGTAGCTTTTGTTTGCCTGCTATCCTAATACCACCCACATACATACCTCTTCCTCCAGCCTCCTACTGCAACATGCGCCCGTCCTCCTCGAAGCTGCTTCCATGACCACGTCCTAGCGACGCCGTCGATGGTCGATGGGCGAGCATGCCATCGCAGGGTTGGGTGGAATATCCTTCGTGCCGGATACGACATCCGGACACTACAGCGTCCCGACAGTCGAAACAAGTGACTGGATGGTTTGTCCCCGAGAAATCCTTGTTTTGCCCAACATCGTGACAGCGTTGGGATGGAAATGGCGTGGGTAAATCCTTCAATGGTTAGTCGGATGATGGGACTAATAGCTTTAGTCGATGTTTCGACTACGACCGGCTGTATTTTTCACCGGGACAGCAGCAACATGAGCGGCGTCGTGCTGGCGAGCGCGGGCTACGACCACACGATCCGCTTCTGGGACGCGGCCTCCGGAACATGCAACCGCACGGTCAAGTACCCCGACTCGGTGCGTGGCCATGTCTATCGCGCGCGCGTGCTCATGCCTGCCATAGCAAGTCAACTGCCTCCAGATCACGCCCGACAAGAAGTACATTGCGGCTGCCGGGAACACGCACATCCGCCTCTTTGAGATCAATAGCAACAACCCGAATCCCACGACGAGCTACGACGGCCATAGCGGCAACGTCACGGCCATTGGCTTCCAAAAGCACGGCAAGTGGATGTTTAGCGGTTCGGAAGATGGCACGATCAAGATCTGGGACCTGCGGTACGCCATTTCGAGCTCTGCATGCACTCGCTCACATCCATCTATGTCTAGAGCGCCAGGCTGTCAACGCAACTACGAGTGCCCCGCGCCCATCAACTCGGTCGCGCTGCATCCGAACCAGGTATGACAGGCGCACCACGCTACATGCAGATGGACGACACGGACTTGTAGGCCGAACTTGTGTGCGGCGACCAGAACGGCTGCGTGCGCGTCTGGGATCTCACGACCAACACGTGCTCGTCCAAGTTTATGCCGGACGGCGACCACGCTGTGCGCAGCGTCGACTTGGCCCGCGACGGGCGCACGCTCGTGGCCGCCAACAACAAGGGCAGCGTCTTTGTCTACACGCCCCGCGCTTCGTGCGTTCTCTTCATTACGAAAAGTGCTCAGCTCTTTAAATGGATTAGGGACAACTACGAGCTCCGCGAGACGTTCCATGCCCACAACGAGTATATTTTGAAGGCGCGCATTTGCCCCAACGTCCGGTTCCTGGCCACATGCTCAGCCGACAAGACGGTCAAGGTCTGGAACATGATGGACATGTCGCTCGTGCACACGCTGCAGGGCCACCAGCGCTGGGTGTGGGATTGCTCCTTCTCCGCCGTCTCGTCGTACCTCGTCACGGGTACATCTGATCTCGTTGCCTTTCTAACAAATTCATGACGTGGCGTGCTCCTAGCGTCGTCGGATCAAACGGCCCGGCTCTGGGACCTCAGCTCGGGCGAAACGATGCGGCACTACAATGGCCACCACAAAGCCGTCACGTGTGTGGCCCTCGATGATAGCGTGGTCGAGAAGGAGAGATAAATCAGATCGTAGTTGCAAGGCCATAAATTTACCCAATATGACCTTGGTAGTTGCTTCCAATGCAATTCATCAACAAGTGCACCCGTCGACTTAGTGTTGCAAACGTCGAGCAACAAAGAGCGCCATAGCAGCGTACGCATCGGCCGCCGCCGCCGTGTACCGGAGCATCGCGGGGTAGTTGTGCAGCTTGTGCCGGTGACAGAGCTCGGTCACATCGACGTTGGCCGCCTTGGCTTTGGCCACAAACGCGCGAATGTCATCTTCCATGAGTTCTTTGCCCCCATAGACAACCTGTCCACCACATGCGTCTGGAATGAGTGGAACAGGCAATTCATGCCTACCATAAGGGGCGGAAGATTGTCCAGCGGATGAAAGAGAGGCGACGCGCGCGTCTGGTCGTCGTGCGCGGCGTACAAGTCGCGCCAGGATGCGATCGTGGACCTATCGTTGAAATCGCGTCAGCCAAGAATTGTCGAGACGAATCGATGAAGCTACGGGAGAAAGACGTCGGTGGCGGCGTTGCGCGCGTACGACGGCGCGGTGCCGGCGATGTCCACCCACGGCGAGAGCAAGATGGCCCCCACCGGGCGCGGCAAGTTGGCGCGAACAATGTGCTGGAGCAGCAGCGCTGCGAGGTTCCCGCCCGCCGAGTCACCAACGACAAGGATCGGGCCGCTCGTCTCGGCGCGCAGCCACGTATACGCCTATCCATATTTCGTTCTAACGGGATGGAAAATGTGATCGATGGTCGACCGAGATGGTTTGCTGGAGCTGGTGCGGGTACTTGAACTCGGGGGCGAGGTCGTACTCGAGGCTAAAGACCCGCGCGTCAATGGTCTTGGCACGTAGCGCTTGGAGGAGTGGCTGGATGATATCGCAGCTCTGCGTCGTGGATGACCCGACGACAAATCTAACAAAATGGACAAGTCGTCGTTGGATAGCGAGTAACGGCAACCGACCCGCCGCCGTGGATGTAAAGGATCGTAATGTCGTGATCCGAGCCTTTCTTGCTTGGGCGGCCGTCGTACCACAAGCCTAGTCATATGCCATATGCACCGTGGCATCGTCCAGAGAGGACATGCGACGGACGTGCCTTGGACGTTGGGGGTATCGACGGCGGACGAAGGCCTATAGCAGCAATTGTTGCGCGATACAGAACAGATCGATGGTATACCGGAAGACGAGGCGCTGGAGATGGCCGTAGACGTTAAAGTTAAAGCGGACGCTGCCATGGGCCAGCGCAGTTTGCGACCGAAGCACGCGCGCCACAAGCGCGTCAAAGAAAAGCTGGTCGGGGTCGCGCGGGCAGCAAAGCACGAGCAGCGGCGCCACGAGGCCATGGACCACGAGCCACACGAGCGACGCGACGTTGGCGAGCAGCGCCATGGTCCGAAATGTCAAAGTGCAAACGACCTTTCTACCTCCACGTCAACTCGTCATCCGGATGATGCGAACCAGCGTATTTGCAATCGCAAAACAGTGTTTGCGTTCGGCGTACAGTGTGTCCATATTAAAGCACCGCACGCAACAGCGCAAGCTTGGCCCCTCACTTTGGCACGTAGTTCAATGTACTATTTGTGTAGCTTCATTGTTCGCCGTGTCGTGCTAGAATCTCCGATGAAATATACTCTCGAGCACACACGCCAAAACAGTGTATTCGAGGTCATACAATGTATACTCGATATAGATCGCCTGGCTTCTTCTTAGCGCAGCAAGTCGTCGAGCGACCGTTCAATGTCCCCAAGGTCGTGAGCGTACGAAGCGGGCATGTCGACGCACTTGCGCAAATCGTACATGTCGGCAAGCTCATCCTGGCAGTTGGCAAAGATGTACTCGCGCAGCGGCAAGTGTACCGTCACATGCGGCATCGCCCACGCTGGAAAGACCTTCTCAAAGTCCTTGAAACGCGACGATTTGCCGCGGTAGTTCATCCAGCGGCTTTGTACCACCGATTGCGCACAGCTGTACGCAGATAGCTCCTTTGTCGACGACACATGGGCACCAACAAGCCCCGATGGCTGGTGTGGCGCGTCGTGCAGTCGATCGTCCTCGCTCTTCGAAGCGTGGCCCAAAGCTTTCGTGCATGGACATTGACACCACGGACACGGCTCGCCACAGCGCGGCACAATGCCATCGACCGCGCCGTACGCTTCGTCGCGAATGAGATCGAGGGCGCTGTCCGCCATCTCGGCACTCCACACCGAGCACGGCCGCAACAAGATCGCGAGCTTGTCAACGTGGTCCAACAGCGTTGCTGGCACGCTGAGTGCACTTTCCAGCGTACTGTCACGGGAGAAGATGGACGGCCCTCGGTCGTCACAGTCAAAGACGCCACTGGAGATCGCCGGCAGACTCGTCACCATGACACTCGTCCCGCTGCGCTTGAGGTGGCGTTGCAGCGACAGACGCAGGGCGCGCAGAAACCGCGCGCTTCGTTCGTCGGATGCAGCCTCGGCCTCGGCTGCAGCGCAAAGGATACTCTGCTTGACGTCGCGGACAAGCTTGTCGGCGACGTCAAGGTAGCACACCTCGACTTGGGCGCGAATGCGGCGCGTGGTAACCTCCGTGGTATGCTCCGCAGGCGCTTGGAGGTACTCGAGCACCGCGTCCACATCGTTCGCGCGCAAATACTGCAGCAGAGACTGGTCGAGCACGGCTTGCATCGCGCTCGCGCTGTGCACCCAGGCCGCGTGCTTGAGCGCCGCGGCAACGACCGCCGCCACTTGCTCGGCAAACGCGCGCACCAGGTTGGTCGTGAGCCACTCGTGCAGCGTCGCCACAAAGAGGTCCGCCGCAATCTGGCCGCGACACATGTTGTCAGCAAAGAGACGGGCTTGCACGCGTCAAACTTGGCCGCAACCGAGTTGGCCGCGTCCCACGCCGCTTGCTTGGCCTGGAGCTCGGTCGTCAGACACGAAAGCAGCGCGCGTGCGCCCGCTTGCATGTCGGTTTGCGTCGACTGCATCGACTGCAGCATCGCTTTGGCTTCTTGCGCGCACAAGAGCACCACGTCGCCGCCGTACCGATCCGTCGACGCCACGCAGCGGCGCACACAGTCGCGCACCGCGCGCAGCGTACACCCCAGTGGCGAAGGCGCCTCGCCTCGCACCCAGTACTGCTTTGAAACGGCTCACCCACCCCGTCGCGCCGCTTTGCGGGGTGTCGTCGCTCGCGAGCTCGTCCGATGTAAAGACCGTATACGAGTGCAACACGTCGTACACCAAGTGCGGTACGCTTGGTGCGAGCGCCGGGTGCTCCGCGTTGGCGCGGCGCATGACCGCCTCAAACATCGCATCAAACGCGTTCATTGTCGCCGATGCGCCGCAGTGTGCCATGCGGTCCACAAGCGCCGCTTGTAGCTGCGCCTTGTACGCCTTGGCATACACGTCGTACATAAAGAGGTGCTGCGCTTTCGCCAGCACGAGGCGCGTCGAATGCGAGCGCTGTCGGCGCTTGACGTCGGCCCACATCTCCATCGTGCTCGTGGCCCACTTTGCAAATGCTTCGTCCGCCAGCGTCTCGGCCACGACGCTGTCGAGCGCTTCGACGGCAGCGTGCACACGCTCTCAAAGGCCGCAGCGTAAATGGACGCAAGCGACTGTGTGTGCTGCGTCATGCGCCCTTGGAGCCGGTCGTACAGATGGCGCTGGTGCGCCGATGCAAAGTCGAGTTCAAAGTTGGCGCTTTCGAGGCAAGTCCACACCAGCGTTAGCGTCTTGTTGAGCGTGTCGATCGTGCGCGCACGCCATTGGCCACACGTGGCAGCACGGTGGTGCACATGCTCGCGCAGCTGCAAGAGGCGCTCGCCGTACGCTGCAATCGGCGTATCCATTGGCGGCTCGGCCACGCCGTGCGTCAAGCCCAAATACCACACGTCACTCGAGCCCTTCGACGACGACGACATGTCGACGTCGTCGAAAAACGTTGCCGTCGCCGTCGACTGGCGCACGACTGCAATCTGCTTGGCGCTCGCGCGAAGACTGTGCAGTAGCGCGTCAGGCTCGGTGCCAGACTGCTCGTCATGGCGACATCCACTTGGTTGAACACAAAGTAGAGCTTGGTCGGGAGGTGGCCGCCCGATGCAGCGGCAAGCTCCGAGTTGGCCACGGCCGAGAGCACAATCGGCAGCACGTCGTTGATCGTCTTGGTCGCTTCGCCTTTGGTCAAGACGATGGTCGCGTCAGCAGGTAGAATCGCCATCGATGCGATGCGGTTGTCGCGCCACACCGTGCCATCTTGACCCGTGTAGTCGGGCGACTGAATACCCTCCGTGTCGAGGAGCAACACATAGTCGTACATGAGGCTGTCGCAAGCGAGCAGTTGGAGACTCACGCCGCGCGTGCAGCGGGCGACGCTCGTCTTCAAACGGACGCCAAACATGCAGTTGAGCAGCGTCGACTTGCCCGACGACTGGACGCCGAGCGCCGAGAGGACAAAGACGCGGCTGTCCTTCGGCAACGTCGTTGCGAGGCAGCGCAGCACCGCGGAAATCCACGTCTTGTTGACCATGCCCGCGTCGCCGTCCATGAGCTCGAGCGAGAAACCATCCACCAAGTGCTGCGCCGCGTACTGTGGATACGCCGCGTGGACGTTTGGCGCCATCGCAAACAAATGCGACACTTCCCGCCAGAGGTGCTCGAGGCCCGTGACGACGCCACTCCAGTCGGCCGTCGTTGGCAACGCGAGGCACTTGTAGCTGGCGGCAAGGCCATTCTCGAGCGCGACGACCTGCATTTCGCGCCGCGCAGCCGACGGCTCTTGCAGCACCGCCACAAAGTACTGCAGCAGCGGGGTGTGCCGAACGCCGTGCGACGCCGCATTTTGCAGCTCCTCGAGCTCCTCGAGTTGTTGCCGTAGCGCTTGCCGACCCGGCGCGCTCGTCTCTCGCTGCAAAGCAATGCGAAGAGCGGCTTCCGCGACAAAGTGCCGCTGCAGCACCAGCGTCTTCGTGCGCAAGGTACCAAAATCCGTGGCCGCCATCGCCGCATCCTGCGCACACAGTCCGTGCGACGCACCGCAAGAGGCAGCGGCATCGATGCAAGCGTGGCGCGAGGCCCATCGGTGAGCGTGTCGTCGAGAACGTAGTAGGCAATCGCTGCGTACGACGCATCCATGGGGCACGTCAGTGCAATCGTACGCGTCGTCTCCGTGCTCGTCACCGTCTCGTCGTCGTCATCGTCGTCCGCGTGGCGCCACGTCAGCACGGTGCCTCGCGCAAGCGTCCCACGCACCGTGTCGGGTCCCGCGTCGACCACTAGAACGTCGGCAAACTGCGTGATGAACGGCGCCAAGCGCATGTAGTCGCCAACGACATGGAGCACCATGACCGGCGTGAACGCCGTGTTGTCTTGGACAAAGCCCCAGCCGAGCTCGGCGACAACCGCCTGCGCCGGCGCGCCACGGCCAAACGTGCGGTCCATACACGACATCGAGTCGACGTGAAACACGCCTTGGATCCAATTCTTTGTCGCACTGCGCGTCGCGGGCCGCTCCGAGACAATAGCAATGCGGCGCACCGACGTATTCTGCAAGAGCGACGACGTTGCGCCGCCATCGAGCCGCGTCTCGACGAGCCCCAAAGCGACCGCGTCCAGCAGCAGCATGCCGTCATCTGAGATTGGAAGCAAAGGGACGAGGAAACGGCGGTCGAGAAGCAGGCGGTAGACGTTGGCGCGGGCCACAGTCGAGAGCGACGCCAACAGCGACGCAAGCACGTCCACGCCAACGGGGCCCTCGGTGATAGCGTTGCGGCGCGGCGGGCGACTCGGTTTCGCCGTCTCCGTGTACAGCTCTTTGGTCACGCTCAATCGGTGCTTGAGCG